TGGCAAGTCCTGGCACCATATATTGCAGAGCCAAGAATGAAAATTAATTCTGCAACTCTACTAATATCTTATTCCTTATCAGTTCATACAATGCCTTGAAAAAGTCTTCCTCCCCCTTGAAAATGTTCCCCATGTTGTCATGTTACATCCAAAAACGTCAATGTATTTTATGGGGATATTATGTGATAGACCGACACAAAGTGGCACATAACTGTGAAGTGGAAGGAAAATGAGAAATGGTTTTTCAATTTTTTACAAATAAATATCTGAATAGTGTGGCGTGCATTTGTATTCAGCCTCCTTTACTCTGATACCCCTAACTAAAATCTAGTGGAACCAACTGCATTCAGAAGTCACCTAATTAGTTAAATAGAGTCCAACTGTGTGTCATGTGATCTCAGTATAAATACAGCTGTTCTGTGAAGCCCTCAGAGGTTGTTAGAGAACATTAGTGAACAAACAGCAACATGAAGGCCAAGGAACACACCAGACAGGTCAGGGATAAAGTTGTGGAGAAGTTTAAAGCAGGGTTAGGTCATAAAAAAATATCCCAAGCTTTGACCATCTCACGGAGCACTGTTCAATCCATCATCCAAAAATGGAAAGAGTATAGCACAACTGCAAACCTACCAACACATGGCCATCCACCTAAACTGACAGGCTGGGCAAGGAGAGCATTCAGAGAAGCAGCCAAGAGGCCCATGGGAACTCTGGAGCTGCAGAGATCCACAGCTCAGGGGGGAGAATCTGTCCACAGGACAACTATTAGTCGTGCACGCCACAAATCTGGCCTTTATGGAAGAGTGGCAAGAAGAAAGCCATTGTTGGAGGAAAGCCATAAGAAGTCCCATTTGCAGTTTGTGAGAAGCCATGTGGGGGACACAGCAAACATGTGGAAGAAGGGGCTCTGGTCAGATGAGACGATAATGGAACTTTCTGGCCTAAAAGCAAACCGCTATGTGTGGGGGAAAACTAACACTGATCACCCTGAACACACCATCCCCACCGTGAAACATGGTGGTGGCAGCATCATGTGGTGGGGATGCTTTTCTTCAGCAGGGATAGGGAAGCTGGTCAGAGTTGATGGGAAGATGGTTGGAGCCAAATACAGGGAAAACTTAGAGAATCTGTGGCAAGACTTGAAAATTGCTGTTCACAAACACTCTCCATTCAATCTGAGAGAGCTTGAGCTATTTTGCAGAGAGAATGAATTGTGGGGGGGCGCAATTGCGCTAGGGATGATTGAGGGTATTTGAGCTAATTGGGGGGGTTTGTGCTAGGATGGGGGTATAGGAAATTGTGCTGGGGGTATAGGAATTTGTGCTTTTTTTTGCGGGGGGGGGGGTTGCTGACTCATACAGATGTGGGGGGGGGGGGGCATTTGGCATGTCTGCCCTGGTTAAAAGTTGTGTGAGGGTTTGAGAACTTGTTCCTGTATTGGTGGGGATAAAAAGTATTGGCTGGGAGAGTCTTAGCAACATCCTAGCAACAAGGCAGGACAGGATGTCATCTTCAGGAATTTTTCAATCAGGTTCCAGGAGGTAAGTAAATGGTCCTCACCAACAGCAGGGACATTGTCTAAATTTGATCAAAGCTGCACAGTTGGTTTTTATTTCTGGACGCCCCTTGTGCACAGACAGTTTTCTGGTAAAAGCGAACTAACCCTTTAAATTGAATTCCAGACAAACTTGTAATCCCTCGCTGTAGTCCAGCCCTGTATTTCAGAAATCAAACTATTTTAAATTGCTAATAAAATGACGTAAAATCTGTCTGATTGCAACACCAGTGAACTTCATAGTGAGCAAGTTAGGCTCAGCTGCACTGCACAGTGCTGTCCATCTAACATGTTTTAGGCACTGGGGGAGGTGATGCAATTAGCTCAAGTCCCCATTCATATCTATGTGATTTGTTGTACCTCAGCCATCATATGACTAGGAGAACCCCTATTAGGGCAGGGGTCTTGTCGGGTCAATCACCGGGTCTCAACGATCGCAAAGTAGAACTGTCAGGAGATAGATCTGTCTGTAAACAACACAGATCTCTCTCCTGCCATCAAGGACATGCTGCTGTGTATTTCTCTGCACAGCATGTCTCTGTAGTGAAACAGCACACAGTCAACCCTTTGATCGCTCCAGATGTTAACCCCTTCCTGCCCAGCGTCATTAGTACAGTGTCAGTGCTTTTTATTAGCACTGATCACTGTATTGGTGTCACTGGGGGTGTCAGTGGCAGTTAGTCACCCCCCCAGTGTCAGAATCCCCACCACAGTCCCGCTATAAGTCGCTGATCGCCGTCATTACTAGTATAAAAAAAAAAAAAACAAAAAAAAAACAAAAACCCAGTATCTATACCGACATTTGTAGACGCTAGAACTTTCACGTAAACCAATTCATTTACACGTATTGGGATTTTTTTTTTTTTTTTTTTTTTTTTTAGCAAAGACATGGAGCAGAATACATTTTGGGCGAAATTTATGACAAAATTTGATTTTTAAATTTTTTTTTTGGACATGTTTAATAGCAAAAAGTCAAAACGTTTATTTTTGTTTTCAAAATTGTCGGTCTTTTTTTGTTTATAGCGCACAAAATAAAAACAGCACAGGCGATCAAATACCACCTTAAGAAAGCTCTATTTGTGGGGGGGTGTATTTTGGGGGGGGGGGGGGCGACGTAAATTTAATTTATGTACAGCGTAACGCAGTGCCGTAACATAAAAATTTTTAATTGGACATGTTTAACAGCAAAAAGTCAAAACATTTTTTTTTTTTTCAAAATAGTCGGTCTTTTTTTGTTTATAGCGCACAAAATAAAAACCGCGACCAAATACCACCAAAGGAAAGCTCTATTTGTGGGGAGAAAAGGCCGTAAATTTCATTTATGTACAGCGTCGCATGACCGCGCAATTGTCAGTTAAAGTAACGCAGCGCCGTATCGCAAAAAAATGGTCTGCTCAGGAGGGGGGGGGGGGAATCCTCTGGAGGGTGAGGGGTTAATTAAAAAAAAAAAACAAAATTAAAAATATTAAAAAAACGCAGATAAAACCGTCCATAGGGATGGGTTTCAATGCCAAAATTTGGCCGCAGTTCAGCGTCGTGTTTTAAAAGTGTTGATGAATTGTGAGGACAGCGCCATGTTTTCCAGCACACGGCGAGCGAGAACAGCAGGGTTCTGGAGGAACACAATCCCTTCTCTAAGGTGTTTCCTTGTTTACAGCCTGAATAGGGTGGATTTAGTGGCTGGTTAGGTCACGTCATCCCGTCTGAGCTGCCAACACGTCTCTATGGGAAAATGACAGCAAAGCACTTCTCTTTTCCTGCAAGAGTACAAATCACTGCTCTGCTCATTCATTATTAATTATGGTTATTAAAATTATACAGGATTTTTATATATTATTCAGGATTATATTATTCAGGATTTACAATATTATTATTATTATACAGGATTTACATAGCGCCAATAGTTTGCTCAGCTTTACAATATAACGGGAGACAAGACAGCAACAATACAGTTCAGTACAAGAGGGTTAGGAGGGCCCTGCTCCCTGGAGCTTACAATCTAAGAGGGAGGGTCTAGTGGTAGAAAAGGTAATAACTGTGGGGGACGGACTGGTAGGAGGAGTAGAAGATTCCATTATTAGCTGAGGGCAGGATAGGCTTCCCTGAAGAGAGAGGTTTTCAGAGATCGCCTAAAAGTGAGCAGTGTGAGCGATAGTCTGATAAATTGGGGTAGAGCGTTCCAGAGGATGGGGAAGACTCTGGAGAAGTCCTGGAGATGAGCATGGGAGGAGGAGACAAGGGAGCTAGAGAGCAGGAGGTATCTAGCACTGATGAGACCCTGAAAGGGAGGAACATTCTTCCTGCAGATTAGAGAACGGAGCCCTAGTTACTAATGGGGAAGCCGCATTGATCAAAAAATAACAACAGCACGGTAGCTTAGTGCTTTGCAGCACCGGGGTCCTCAGTTTGAATCCCGGCCATAACACTATCTGCATGGAGTTTGCATATTCTCTGTTGTTGCTTGGGTTTCCATCGGTTTCCTCCCACACTCCAAACACAAGCTGACAGGTTAAATTATATGTAAACCCATTCAGTTTAAAATAGAAAATAAAAAGGCAAAACATTTGTGTATAGATCTAAAAAAAAAAAAAAAAAAAAAAAAAAAACATTATAAAATTTATAAATACCCTTTTTCTCTTTTTTATAAGTGATCACATACCCTCTGTTCTCAGCTGCATAAGAGCCAGGGAAGGAGAAAACCGCTGCACACTGATCTTCCCAGTGAATGTTTGTGCGGGGGGATCATTGGAGGAGAGCAGATCATTGGACCACAGCTAGAGAACTGACCATGCTGTGCTCACAGGCATAGTGTGGTCAGTTTTTGTTAGGGAAGCAGAGGGGACTGGCAAGATCACCAGGGATTTCACACTAAAAGGAAGCAATGCAAGGAGAACAGGATACTTTTTCTTACAAGTACATGGTACAGCGGCACATACAGTATCAGTAACATAACATGTTGGGTTTACATATCCACATGCATGCCAGTCCCGTACATGGTACGCCTGGTGGTTGTTCTGGAAAGATGCCTGCAGGTGCCATTTTATTTTACAGCTGAAGGTCGTCTCTCTTGTAACAGCAATCGGAGCGGCTGACTCGGCATAACATCATCTTTTATATTTTACCAAAAATTGGGTTATGTTTTTTTTTTTTGCCTTAAAGGTTCAAGCCGCTGTGCAAATACTGTTTGACATAGAAAATTGAAAAACCCACCATTTTGTTCTCTAGGGCAGGGGTCTACAAACTCTCTAAAGAAAGGGCCAGTTTATTGTCATTCGAAATTTTAGGGGGGGGGGGGGGGGGGGGTCGGACTCTGACTATTGGGAGAAGAAAATGTCCTGCTGTCAGTTGGAATAGACAATGCCCCATCTTTGGTGTCAGAGGAAGGAAGAGCACCCCATCGTTGGTGGCAGTGGGAGGAATTGTGACCCATCATCGATGTCATTAGGCCCCATTATTGGTGTCATTGGGAGGAAATGTGCCCCATCTTTGGTGTCTTTGGGAGGAAATTTACCTCTTCATTGGTGTCAGTGGGGAGAATTCTGTTCCATTGTTGGTATCACTGGATGAAATAGTGCTGCAAGGGTCGGATAAAAGCAGGCAAAGAACCGCATCTGGGGCCACAGATTGGAGACCACTGCTTTAGGGCATCTGCTTAAAAAAAAAAAAAATATATATATATATATATATATATGTATGTATGTATATGTATATATATATATATATATATATATATATATATATATGTTTGGGGGTTCTAAGAAATGTTTCTAGCAAAAAATTCTTCAATTGGCTCCTGTCTAAAACTGGCCTTAGATGGATCCAGCATGGACCAGCTGAATTTTGATCCATCTAAGGCCATTCCAGCTCAACTGAAGTTGATTGAATGACCTTTTCGAAGGATCAACTTCTGCTGAATGAGAATGTTGGAAAATGTTCATTGGGTCAGTTGCTGCAGCGTTGATCAATGTATCCCGACAGTGGAGGAGTCTCGCTCTCAAAATACAAAGTCCTAGTGGGGAGGATTCTTCCATCCACATCTTCTGTGTGATTGGGGAAATCCAATCAAGTTTTTTTTTTTTTTTCCCGATCAGCCCACAACCCATCTATGTGCAGCCTTAGGCTAGGATCATACCATACATATTCTATGAGTACACGCATGTTTCTGCACATCACTTGTAGGTCAGCCCATTCATTACACATGAAAAACGTGCAAAGAAGTATTTGACCCTTCTTCGAACTCGCATGGCACCATGTTGGTTTGGCACATGCATTAGTCGAAGCGTGTGTGTGTGCCATCCCATTCATGGCACCATCGCATGTTTGTTTAAGGGCAGCATGTTTCTGTGAATGTTGGGTGAGCGCGAAATTTTGCACGCGTTCATGACACTCGCAAGGTGTAAACTTAGCCCATCAAATACTTTCTGAAAAGTAATCCAAATGCAAGTGTGAAAGAGCTCTTATAATTACGGGTTCGTTTTTTCACAATAAATAAAAAGGCGTACTAACGCAGCCCACACAAGTCATTTTGTTTTTCATTAAACCAGCGGGTTGAACAAAAAAATGACCCGTTTCCCCCATCCACATCAAATCCTTCCCGCTGCGCTATTGTATTCGGACAGCGAGCAGACTTCCCTACCATCAGAATACATTGATCAGTGCTGCCAGATATAGCCGGCGGTGCTGATTGATCAGAAAAAAAATTGACAAGTGTAGATCAGATGATCAACTTCTGTACAACCAGCCCAGCCATACATGGATAAAAATTTGCTGAACTGAGTACTGAGCACTGTACATCCCCCTCACCACCCTGGCATCTGCTCAAGGCCAGGACAAGGGGTTGGCAGGAGGGGCAGCTGCCCTGGCCACTGTGGTATTATATGAGACGGGAGGGGCACTATGAGTAGAATAAGGGGGGAGAGAATTTGGAAGCCAACAGGGGGTTGTTCTAGGAGGGGAAATTTGGGGAGTGGTGATCTGCGCTGATTTGTGTTGGGAGGGGAGGGTGATGGGGGAAGAGGATTTGCGCTAGGAGGGGAAATTTTTTTTTTTTGGGGGGGGGGGGGGGGGGGTTTGTAGTGGGGAGGAAGAGGATTCGTGCTTGGAGGGGAGAACTGAGGGGCAGAGGATTCGTGTTAGGAGGGGGATTTTTTTTCGGGGTTGTGATGGGGGCATATGGGGGGAGAGAGGATTTGAGCTGGGGGTTGGCAAAGATTTGTGCTGGGGGGGAGAAATTTCAGCAGGGGGCAGTTTTGCACTGGGAGGGGGAATTTATGCTTAGGGGGGTAAGAATGCAGATTAGTACTCAATTGTTTTTTTTTTGGGGGGAGGGGGGATTTTTACTGACACAATGCTCATACATCATGGGGGAGGGAGTTCTAAATGACCTTGTCCCGACACTGTATCTGCTACACTTACTTCCGTGGGTGAATAGCTGCACTGCCCATGCAGCCGATTCAGCAGTCTAGGAATTTGAGAGCCCCACTGTTCTTTCCTTTCATTCTGGCTCCATTGATGGATCAAAGTGATTCTGATTGGTCAAAGTGGTCAAGTGCCAGCACATGACCAACCGAATTGCTCTGAGGAAAGCCCTAAACGAAAAACAGGAAAGAACAGTGTGACTTTCAAATCCCCGAACCTCTGCATGGGCGGTGACAGCTCTTCACCCACAGAGGAAAGTGGGGCGGGGAGTCTGTGTAGAGTGAAAAGGGGAACTTTCACTTTAACTGCTTGGCAACCGCCTACCACAGATAAACTGCGACAGAGCGGCCCCGCTGCACAGGATCACAGACATGTAAGTGATCTAACATTTCCGGGTAGGGGGCGCATTCCGCCTGCCACCCTGGCTGTGCTGTCATTTGCTACTGCAGAAGCTGATTGGCAGGTCCTGTCCAATGATTTGTCTCCAAAACCCGCTGACTGGCTGACAGGGGGGAGAAAGAAGGCAGAGGAGGGCGGGGGGGGAGAGAGGAAGAAGGCAGAGGAGGCAGAGAGAAAGGGCAGGGGGGGGGAGAGAGAAAGAAGGCAGAGGGGGGGAGAGAGAAAGAAGGCAGAGGGGGGGAGAGAGAAAGAAGGCAGAGGAGGGGGGGGGGGGAGAGAGAAAGAAGGCAGAGGAGGAGAGGGGGGGAGAGAGAAAGAAGGCAGAGGAGGAGGGGGGGGGAGGAGAGAGAAAGAAGGCAGAGGAGGAGGGGGGGGAGAGAGAAAGAAGGCAGAGAGGGGGGAGGAGAGAGAAAGAAGGCAGAGGAGGAGGGGGGAGGAGAGAGAAAGAGGCAGAGGAGGAGGGGGGAGGAGAGAGAAAGAAGGCAGAGGAGGGGGGGGAGAGAGAGAGAAAGAAGGCAGAGGAGGAGGGGGGGGAGGAGAGAGAAAGAAGGCAGAGGAGGAGGGGGGAGGAGAGAGAAAGAAGGCAGAGGAGGAGGGGGGAGGAGAGAGAAAGAAGGGAGGGGGGGGGGAGAGAGAGAAAGAAGGCAGAGGAGGAGGGGGGAGGGAGAGAGGAAGGCAGAGGAGAGAGAAGAAAGAAGGCAGAGGAGGAGGGGGGAGGAGAGAGAAAGAAGGCAGAGGAGGAGGGGGGAGAGAGAGAAAGAAGGCAGAGAGGAGGGGGGGGGGAGAGAGAAAGAAGGAGAGGAGGAGGGGGGGGGCAGAGAAAGAAGGCAGAGGAGGAGGGGGGAGAGAGAGAGAAAGAAGGCAGAGGAGGGGGGGGAGAGAGAGAAAGAAGGCAGAGGAGAGGGGGGGAGAGAGAGAAAGAAGGCAGGCAGGGAGGAGAGGGGGGGGAGAGAAAGAAGGCAGAGGAGGAGGGGGGAGAGAGAGAAAGAAGGCAGAGGAGGAGGGGGGAGGAGAGAGAAAGAAGGCAGAGGAGGAGGGGGGAGGGAGAGAGAAGAAGGCAGAGGAGGAGGGGGGGAGAGAGAGAAAGAAGGCAGAGGAGGAGGGGGGGGAGAGAGAAAGAAGGCAGAGGAGGAGGGGGGAGAGAGAGGAAAGAAGGCAGAGGAGGAGGGGGGGGAGAGAGAGAAAGAAGGCAGAGGAGGAGGGGGGAGAGAGAGAAAGAAGGCAGAGGGGGGAGGGGGGGGAGAGAGAGAAAGAAGGCAGAGGAGGAGGGGGGAGAGAGAGAAAGAAGGAGAGGAGGAGGGGGGTCAGAGAGAGAGAAGAGAAGAAGGCAGAGGACCAGGAGAGAAGGCAGAGGAGGAGGGGGGGAGAGATGAGAAAGAAGGCAGAGGAGGGGGGGGAGAGAGAGAAAGAAGGCAGAGGAGGGAGGGTCTAGAGAGGAGGAGAAAAGAAGGCACTGAGGAGGAGGGGGGGTGAGAGAGAGAAAGAAGGCAGAGAAGGGGGGGGGGAGAGAGAGAAAGAAGGCAGAGGAGGGGGGGGGGAGTGAGAGAGAGGGAGAGAGAGGGAGGAGGGGGCCCAGAGAGAGAGAAAGAAGGCCAGGAGGAGGGGGGGGAGAGAGAAAGAAGGCAGAGGAGGAGGGGGGGAAGAGAGAAAGAAGGCAGAGGAGGAGGGGGGGGAGAGAGAAAGAAGGCAGAGGAGGAGGGGGGGGAGAGAGAAAGAAGGCATTGTATGGGGAGAGAGAAAGAAGGCAGAGGAGGAGGAGGGGGGGAGAGAGAAAGAAGGCAGAGGAGGAGGGGGGGAGAGAGAAAGAAGGCAGAGGAGGAGGGGGGGGGGGAGAGAGAAAGAAGGCAGAGGAGGAGGGGGGGGAGAGAGTAAGAAGGCAGGAGGAGGGGGGGGTGTGAAAAGAAGGCAGAGGAGGAGGGGGGGAGGAGAGAGAAAGAAGGCAGAGGAAGAGAGAGAAAGAAGGCAGAGGAGGGGGGGGGGAAGAGAGAGAAAGAAGGCAGAGAGGGTGGGAGATAGAAGAGAGAGAAAGAAGGCGGGGGGGGAAGAGAGAAAGAAAGAAGGCGGGGGGAAGAGAGAGAAAGAAGGCGGGGGGAAAGAGAGAGAAAGAAGGCGGGGGGGAGAAAGAGAGAGAAAAGGGGGGGTGAGAGAGGAAGGCAGGGGGGGGAGAAGAAGGCAGGGGGGGGGAGAAAGAAGGCAGGGGGGGGGAAAGAAGGCAGGGGGGGGAGAGAAAGAAGTCAGGGGGGGTTACAGAAGGCAGGGGGGGGAGAAAGAAGGGGGGGGGGGGGGCAGAAAGAAAGCAGGGGGGGGCGAGAGAAAGAAGGCAGAGGAGGGGGGGGGGGAGAGAGAAAGAAGGCAGAGGAGGAGGGGGGGAGAGAGAAAGAAGGCAGAGGGGGGGGAGAGACAGAAAAAGGCTGAATGAGAGAAAGAAGGCAGAGGGGGGGGAGAGAGAAAGAAGGCAGAGGAGGAGGGGGGGAGAGAGAGAGAAAGAAGGCAGAGGAGGAGGGGGGGGAGAGAGTAGAGAAAGAAGGCAGAGGAGGAGGGGGGGGGGAGAAGAAAGAGGCAGGAGGAGGAGGGGGGGGGGGAGAGAGAAAGAGGCAGATCAGGAGGGGGGGGGAGAAGAAAGAAGCAGAGGAGGAGGGGGGGGGGAGAGAGAAAGAAGGCAGAGGAGGAGAGGGGGGGGGGAGAGAGAAAAAGGCAGAGGAGGAGGGGGGGGGAGAGAGAAAGAAGGCAGAGGAGGAGGGGGGGAGGGGGGGAGAGAGAAA